CTCCGGGAAACCTAGTACAATAACCAGGCAGTATTTTCGAATAAAACCAATCAGAAATTTTCAAGAAGGTCAGCATGGTAATTTATGTTCTATCAAGCAATCACCCTTTTCAAAACAAAAAAGTCTAATTTGGAGATTTTTACATAAACTATAAATTACGGTACTCTCCTTGCTGCTCAAGCTTTTGGTGCCTATAGCAACAAATAGGATGCTCGCAGTATCCAACTAGCTAACAAACTAGTAAAACCGTCTTGATTTGCTTCCTAAATTCCCTAAGCTTGCCTTGAAAATAAACCCATAAATAATTTCCTTTGGTTAATGTATCAGAAACAATAAGCCTCTAGGCTCCACATCCCTTTAACACAAGCGTAAACAAAAGAAATTGCTTTTCAATAATGAATGTGCGGCTAACATGAACATTTATCACTACGCTGGTTCAAAATAATCCGCGCTCGCGTGATCTCTGTGGAAAAATATATGTGCGTGCTACACTGATTTTTGTCATTCCTTTTTTTGCATCCTTTTTCAAGAAATGCTTCGATTGGCGCCTTATTTCTTGAGGAATCATTGTATAATTTATGTACATACTATTATCAGTCGCATTGTAATCTTTATAAATATGGCAAATGCTTTTCTGTTATCTTAGCGTTGTTTTATAATGTAGGGTAACTTGGTGGTAGCGAACATTTTCCTCAGAGGTACAGATTGCTCTTCAGGGAACGCTAATTTTTGCCAGTTAACGGTTAGCTTGCAAGTCGGTAAAGTCGTCACAGTAACCACTGGCTCAAATGTTTAAAATACTTGAAAACCCGCTTCCTATTAAAGACATTGAATATTTTCGCAGTTATTTGAAAAAGAAGGGCAACATCTATGTTGCAGTCGTATGGCGATATAACAAATTTTGCAAAACTGCTTAGAAACATATACGTTGTAGATAACAATAAAGCAACGAGCTTGCATGACTGTGATAATATTGCTTAGCCTAATACATGTGTTTTGCTCAAACATTACA